GGAAACCCAACTATTTAGAACCCTCAATACTATTTTCCATAATGGCTGTATTAATTTACATTCTCACTAACAGCATATATGAGTCCTGTTTGCATCCTCACCAGCATTGTTATCTTTTTGTTTTCTTGATAATGGTCATTCTACTGGAGTGAATAATAGCTCATTGTGGCCTTTGATTTGCATGTTCCTGATGATTAGTGATACTGCTTTTTTTTTTTTTTTTTTTTTTTGAGACAGAGTCTCTCTCTGTTGCCCAGGCTGGAGTTCAGTGGCCTCCATCTGGGGCTCACTGTCAAGCTCCGCCTCCCGGGTTCACACCATTCGCCTGCCTCAGCCTCCTGAGTTGGGACTACAGGCGCCGCCCCCCATGCCCAGCTAATTTTTTGTATTTTAGTAGATATGGGTTTCACCATGTTAGCCAGAATGGTCTCGGTCTCCTGACCTCAGTGATCCACCCATCTCAGCCTCACAAAGTGCTGGGATTACAGGCGTAAACACTGTGGCCTGGCCTTTTCTTATTTTATTTATTTATTTATTTATTATTATTATTTTTTTAGAGGAGTCTCGCTCTGTCACCCAGGCTGGAGTGTGGTGGTGCAATCTTGGCTCACTGTAACCTCCGCCCTCTGAGTTCAAGTGATTCTCCTGCTTCAGCCTCCCGAGGTAGTTGGGATTACAGGCGCCTGCCACCGCTCCTGGCTAATTTTTTGTTTTTAGTAGAGACGGGATTTTGCCATCTTGCAGGCGGCTGGTGTTGAACTCCTGACCTTGTGATCCACCCACCTCGGCCTCTCAAAGTGTTGGGATTACAGGTGTGAGCCACTGTGCCCGGCCTATTTTTTCATCGTCTTTTTTTTTTTTTGAGCTGAGGTTTTCGCTCTTGTTGCCCAGCCTGGAGTGCAATGGCGTGATCTCGGCTCACCACAGCCTCCCTCTCGCCTCCTGGGTTCTAACGATTCTCCTGCCTCAGCCTCCCAAGTGCTGGGATTACAGACAGGCATGTGCCACCATGCCTGGCTAATTTTGTATTTTTAGTAGAGATAGGGTTTCTCCATGTTGGTCAGGCTGGTCTCAAACTTCTGACCTCAGGTGATCCACCCACCCCAGCCTTCCAAAGTGCTAGGATTAGAGGCGTGAGCCACCGCACCTGGCTGATAATGGCCATTTTTTTCATACCTTGGTGGCCATTTGCATGTTTTTGTGAAAATGTTTAGGCCGGCGTGATAGCTCACACCTGTAATCCCAGCACTCTTGGGAGGCCAAGACGGGTGGATCACCTGAGGTCAGGAGTTCGAGAACAGCCTGGCCAACATGATAAAACGCCATCTCTGCTAAAAATGCAAAATTAGCTGGGCGTGGTGGCGCATGCCTGTAACCCCAGCTACTTAGGGAGGCTGAGGCAGGAGAATTGCTTGAACTCAGGAGGAGGAGGATTCAGTGAGCCGAGATCGCACCACTTGCACTCCAGCCTGGGCACCAAGAATGAAACTCCATCTCAAAAAAAAAAAAAAAAAAGAATGTTTAATCATGTTCTTTGTCCACTCTTTTTTTTTTTTTTTTTTTTGAGACAGAGTTCCACTCTGTTGTGGGCTAGGCGCCTGTCACCTAACCTGGCTAATTTTTTGTATTTTTAGGTAGAAGACGGGGTTTCACTGTGTTAGCCAGGATGGTCTGGATCTCCTGACCTCATGATCCACCCACCTTGACCTCTCAAAGTGTTGGGATTACAGGCGTGAGCCACTGCACCCGGCCCTTTGTCCACTTTTTAAATGGGATTATTTTTGTTTTCCCTGTTGAGTTGTTTGAGTTCCTTATATATTCTGGATATTAGTTCCCTGTTGGATGAATAGCTGGCAAATATTTTCTCCCATTTAACAGGTTTTCTGTATTGTTTCCTTTATTGTGCTGAAGCTTTTTAGTTTTTATTTTCTGTTTTTTTGAGACGAAGTTTCACTCCGTTGCCCAGGCTGGAGTGCCATGGCACGACCTCAGCTTACTGCAACCTCCACCTCCCAGGTTCAAGCGATTCTCCTGCCTCAGCCTCCTGAATAGCTGGGACTGCAGGTGCCACCACGTCCGGCTAGTTTTTCTATGTTTAGTAGAGATGGGATTTCACCATGTTGGTCAGGCTGGTCTTGATACTTCTGACCTCATGACCTGTCCGCCTCGGCCTCTCAGAGTGTTGGGATTACAGGCATGAGCCACTGTGCTGGCCTTTTTTTTTTTCGTTTTTTTGAGATAGTCTGGCTCTGTCACCCAGGCTGGAGTGCAGTGGTGCCATCTCGGTTCACTGTAAGCTCCACCTCCCGGGTTCACGCCATTCTCCTGCCTCAGCCTCCCAAGTAGCTGGGACTATAGGCATCTGCCACCACGCCTGGATAATCTTTTTTGTATTTTTAGTAGAGACAGAGTTTCACCTTGCTGTTCAGTCTGGTCTAGATCTCCTGACCTCGTCATATGCCCGCCTCGGCCTCCCAAAGTGCTGGGATTACAGGCGTGAGCCACTGCCCCTGGCCATTTTTTTGTATTTTTAGTAGAGACAGAGGTTCACCTTGTTTTTCAGGCTGGTCTAGAACTCCTGACCTCAGGTGATCCACCCACCTCGACTTCCCAAAGTGTTGGGATTACAGGCACGAGCCACCGTGCCGGCCTAGTTCTGGGTTCTCTGTCCTGTTCCATGGGTGTGTGTGTGTGTTTGTATCAACCTCATGCTCTTTTCATTTCTGTAGTCTTGTAGAATGGTTTGAGCTCAGGCGGTGTGATTTTTTTTTAGCTTTGTTCTTTTTCCTCAGGATTGCTTTGGTTATCTCTGTTCTTTCTTGGTTCCATGTGGATTTTAGAATCTTTGTTTCTATTTCTGTGAAGAATGTTACTGGTATTTTGGTAGGGATTGCATTGAATCTGTAGATGGCTTTGGATACGTCCCAAATTTTCATTCCCTTTTGGAGGTTCCTGAGCCAGTGGCTCACATTTCTATACTGCAGTCTGTGGGCTTTGTTTGACGAAGTCTGTTTTATTGTTACCATGAGTTGTTCCCTGAGGAGCAGTGTGCTTTAAGCCCAGGAGATGGGAAGAAGGGAAATGAACAATGGCACCTTCTCACCGTCTTCTGGCTCTAGAGGCATCAAGGGTGAAGTCTTTAGTTCCACAGCCCAGATTCAAGGCGTGTGCTTCCTCTCTCCACTGAAGTACTGCAGCAAAACTCTGTGCCTGCGAAAGCCAGTGTCCTGCCCAGTCCTAGGCTCACAGCCTCAGGCCATGCTGAGAGCAGCCTTGGGGTAATTCCAGAAAGTTCAGCCTTCTGACTCTGTCTGGGTCCCTTCAGTGTTGGGATACTTTCTAGACCTATGAAGGTTTTTAATTTGTAAAGTCCGTTTCTTAGAGTAACAAGTAATAATTCCTTGTGTGATGCAGGTATCACACAAATTACAGAAAAGTACCATGTGATGGTAATTCACATTCTATTCTGACAGGTCGCGGTTGATGTACTGCAGAGAATGCTGATTTGTAAGTTAATTGCCCTGTGGCCCAGACTGTAAATGACTTAGTTTGCTTATTAGCAAGTCTGTCAGTTTTCTGCCTTTCCATTTGAAGTGTTTCTCCCCCGTATGTTTCACTGTGTAGAGTCCTGGTACTGGAATGCCCTTGTTTTGGTTGTAATTTGGTGTGGATTTACCTTCCCATTCTTATTCTGGTTTCCAGTTCCTAGCGGCTTTAGATTTAATTTTCAGAGCTGTGAAGGGATACCACGTTAATGTGTGGGTAACAGGGAAGCGTTTTATTGTCTGTGTTTTGATTAATGGCTTCCAGATTGTAGAAATCTTGATGGATGTGGGCCCTCTGGGGGACTGGAAGTGGGTCCCATGTCCGAAAGCACTTGGGGATTGTTTCTGGGGGGCTGCCACTGTATGCTGACATCTGTTTTCTGTTCCTGGCTCTGTCGTCAGTTGCACTTGACGCTTTGGCTGCTGGAGTACAAGAGGAGTCCTCCACTCACAAGACCGTGAGGTGCTGGTATGTTCTTGAGGGTGGTGTGCCTGAGTGTGCTGCAGGGGGGTTCCTGCCAAATTAAAGAGCCAAGACATTTTAAACACTTCCAGAGCTTCGGCAGCCCACTCCTGAGCACACTTCCTCTGCCAGTTATGATAACGTGCGTGAGGAGGAGGCGACCGTGGGAAAGCCTTGGGAATGCTCCGGTCAGCCTTTTCCCCATGAGGATGAGGTCGGAAGGTGCGCCCGCTGCAGGATCCTGTTCCGCCTCTGGAAGTCCTGCACCAGTGCTTTGTCCCACTCACTGTGACCTCCTCCCCTCTGTGGAGTCTCCCCTTGCTCCTCCTCCCCTGGGTGTGGTCCAGGCTCTAGAGCTGGCCCTGCCTCTCAGCCCCCCACATTTCCAGAACACACGGCACGCGCCTCTACAGACTCCCGCTGCCTGCCCTCCACAGGTCCTGCTCAGATTCACCAGTAGGCAAAGCTTGGGCCTATTTGCTTTTTCTCTCCACAGCCCTGTGGAGATGTGCGGAGACCTCTATAGGTGGGGAGGCGGAAGCTGAGGAGTGGGGCTGGGTGGAAGGTGGACGTCGGGGTTTGGTGGAAATGGGGCTCTGGGGTTTGCTTCCCTCTAATGTGGTCAGGGGACCTTGAAGTGAAGTCTTGAGAAACCCGTAGAATTCCCCACCGTTTCCAGGCCTTGTCAACCTTCTTCTTCTTTAATTAATTTGCTCCTTATTTCGCATCCCTCACAAGTAACTGTTTAACTGCTCAATTAAATGTGTTGTACCATTCGGTACTTTTAGTGAAACAGTGAATAAAGCACTGTGTGATTTTCTGAATGTTTGTGTGTGCATTGGTTAGCTTAGGCTGCTGTAACGAAGTGCCAGAGACTGCAGTGTGGACGCAGATGTGTTTCACAGCAGTGGAGGCTGGAAGTTGGAGGTCAGGGTGCCCCCGAGGTTGGGTTCTGGTGAGGACCCTCTTCCTGGCTTGCAGGAGACCTCCTTTTTCTGTGTCCTCATGCGGTAGAGAGGGGGAGCAAGCCCTCTGGTGTCTTCTCCGGGCGCTTATCTCATCATCACCTAGGCCTTCTCAGCACCCCACCTGGAGAGGCTGGGCTTCAACAGAGGAACTTTGTGGGGATACAGTTTAGTCTGTGGCAAGGGCTTTTTAAATAATCTGCATGATAAGATTATTCACACTGACGTCCTGAGCGGCAGATAACAACCACTGACCTGCTGCTTTTTAAATTTTGTAATTAGTTGCCAATAATTTATTTATTTTTGAGACAGAGTTTTGCTCTTGTTACCCAGGCTCGAATGCAATGGTGTGATCTCTGCTCACCGCAACCTCTGCCTCCCAGGTTCAAT